GCCCCCTATAAAAAAAAAAAAAAAAAAAAAAATCACATTATGTACTTTAACTGGGTCACCTGCATAACATATAAATTTTATCTTTAAAAAGACTTTTTAAAAATGAAAGAGCAGGGGCCAACAGGTGGCATAGTGGTTAAGGTGCTGGACTGTCAAGTGGTAGACCACAGTTCTAGTCCGGGACCCAGTGACTTGAAACTCATGCCAGGCACATGTGCATGCATGCCCAAAATTCCAAGAGGAGAATGGAGAAAGGATCACGGTGTGGTCACATCCCCTGGAGGTGATTTCTTGCTTTCTGTCTCTCCAGCAAGTACACATGCCCCACAGCAAAAAATCTTCTAAAAATAAATAATTAAAAATAAAAAAGAATTTATAATGGACACAAGAGTGCAAGTAAATAAGGGAAGGGGCTAAAATTCTGTGGACTACAGCAGAGTAAAAAATATGGACAATTTAATACACATTTTTGAATATGAAAATGGGTACATCCTTGATTTGACTATTGTATACTATACACATGACTTTAGAAACATTCTGAAGCCCACAAAGATATACACTGGTTATATGTACACCAGAAATCATAATTAAAATTTTATAAATAAATAAATAAATAAATAAAAGGGCTGGCTCCATAATACAAAGAGTTAAGTGCAGTACACTGAGAGCCAGATCTAATATGGTCGGCTGAAATGTGAATTCTGGACTCAGAGGCTCAACACATGTACCAGGCACATGGGTATGTATGCCCAAAATCCTGACAGGAAGAAGAATGGAGGAAAAGGGACCCTTACATGACTACACTTCACTGGGAGGGTACACTCTCACTCTCTCTCTAGTGAGTGCATGCTGCTTCTGGCAAAAAAAAGAAAAGGCAGTAACAAAAAATGTTTTGTTTTTATGAGAGATTGCATATGTGCACATGAGAGACAGAAAGGGGCACCTCTCAATGGGGTCTGGGTACCCCACGATCTCTTTCCAATCCTTTAGCTCATCAGGATACTGGGCACACCTGGTGGTTTCAGGTTAACCTGGGATCCAAACCTGTGGTTGGTCATGTGGCTTTTTATTTTATTCATTAATTCATTTATTTTTAGTTTGACCAGAGAGACACAGAGAGAGAAAGAGGGAAAGTGAGAAAGCAAGCTGCCAGGTCTGGGACTTGAACCATGGTCAGCCATGTGGGTGTGTCCAGCACCTTAACCACCATGCCACCTGCTGGTCCCTGGTCATGTAGCTTCTAGGGCTGCGGTTCAGTAGGCTATTGCCTATGCCACCAAGGCTGCCCCCCAAAATTGTTTTAATTTTAAGAAATAAGTTCCATAAACCCACTTCCCACGTATCTCCACAACCTCTAGCAGCCCGACAGTGGATAGGCACCTAAAAAGGTCATCCCTATGCCTGGGCTCAGGTTGCACCAGAGTCACTAAGGCAGACTGTAGTGTTCTGGTGTTAAGACTGTTTCAGGAGGACCAAGCAGGTGGTGTGGAGGTTAACGTGGCTGGATCCCATATGGCTGACCATATGGCTCAAGTTCCAGACCTGGTAGATTGAAAAATCACACTAGGTGCACATATGTGCCTGCCCCTAGGGAATGATTTCTCACTTTTCCCACTTCTTTCTCTGGAGCGTACACGTGTCCTATAGCAAACTGGGGGGAAAAAAAAGATTGTTCCTGAAGGTGTCCAGGAACTGGCACCTTAAGCTAATTTCTTTCAGTCAGACCACAAGCTCTCCTTGGCAACATCAGCTGTCTCCCCACATGTGCCTGTAGGAACAAAAGGTGGAGGTGAACCACTGACCTTGATGATCTCTTCATGTCCATCGTTGGACTCTACCAGCTCTGAGGCCAGAGAGTGGCTGGTGGAGAAGCCAGACACCATAGCATAGGTCTTCTTGCCCGCCTGCCAGAGAGAGACGGAGAAGTTGCTCAGAAACTGTAACACCTGGCAAGTCCAGAACTCCTGCCCCTCGGAGAAGGCAGAAGGCCTGATCCTCAAAAACTTGAAGGGTTAGTCTGACTTTCTCTTCAAAAATTTACTTCAGAACCTCTAGCAGCCACACAGCAGCAAGAACACCAGATGGGGGAAATTAGTAGAAATGGCAGGTTAGTCTTCACTTGGCAGTAGTCTCCTCATCCCACAAAGTCGCGTTAGGTCAGCTGCTCGTGTTTGCAAACAGATGCTCCCAAGCTCGCAGCAGCAGAGGTGGCTCCAAGCAGCTCCAGGGTGCAGGGTCATGGCAAGGAAGGACAGTTGGCTGAGGAAAGGAGGCTTTGCCCCACCAGAAACCTCAGTACCTTCTGGGCTATGTGTTCGAGTTCCTCTCCTGTCAGTTCACTCTGGAGAGTCAGCCTGAGAATGTCCACGCTGCCCTAATAATGACAATGACGGTAACACCTTACCTTTCCAGCATACGGGTACAAAGAACTACTGGTACAGGTGTACTTTGCCAGCCCTGTAGAGTGGGCCTTATTATCATCACTTCACAGAAAAGGAACCGGGGTCTGGAGAAGTGGCATTAGTTTATCCAGAGTCAGGTTTCTCTTAGGGGTTGGGATATCCCTGGGGGACATCTGACAGTTCTCCTCACACCACACCAGAGTCTCCACGGCATGTTCTCTATGGCTCAAGGGTCTATCCAGATTCTCATGTTACAGGAAGCACATTGCATGGACTCCCCTCCTACAAGCAGTAGAGAGGCGGACCCCTGGACTGGTCATCCCCAGTCTGGAATTTCTGTTCCTGACAATCAGCCAGGAAGTTATTGATGCAATTAACGAGACCAGGATATCCTTCCTGAACCAAACTACAGGAAAGTAGCCGAATCTGAACTCCCATTGCTATGAGTCACATAGCAATTATCCCAATGAAAGCAGGAAAGGTAACAGGTATTTATCTGATTTACCAGATCAGCCTGGTATCAAAGGATGAAGCAGGTTCTTTCATAATTTTAAGGTTAAAGAAACACTTTGTATAAAAAACCTAAGAAGAAAAAACATGGCAAGGTGGAAAAGTAGAGGAGCTGGAAATGTGGGAAGACAGTCATGAAAAGAGGACCAGCAAGGCCGTGTAGACCATACCTTATGTATCTGTTGTTACATGTGGAGGTGGATGAGGGGCTTAGCTACCCTAGGCCTTTCGTCCATACCATGATGTATGAGGGTTGAAGAGAGGGGAATCTTCAAAACTTTGTGGAAAATGCTCATTACAAAAAACTATGCATAGGTTTCACATTTTGCAAACAAATAAATCCACACTTTAAAAAAAAAAAAAGTGCATTTCTTCCATGAGCAAAAAAGACAGCACCCCCAACAAAGTCTCGACACTATAATCCACCCTCAGCCCCAGTCAGTCTCTGATTATTAGTACATGTGCTCTGGCATTCTTAGGAGAAGACGCCCAGATGAGATCCTGGAACCTTCCCGCGTGGGTCAACCTAACAGAGCAACGTTACTGCTGCACCACCATCTGGTCCCAATTCACACTGCAATTCTACTTTTTGGAGTCCCCCCCACATATATGTCTCTCCCAAGCAATGAAGGAAAGATAGGGGCTCCGCTCCCAAGGACAAAAGTGACCTTGAAGTCATCTGGTCATTTCCTATCTCGAGACCTAGCAGCATAAATGCCACCTTACCCCTAACAGGTTTTAAGGAATACTCCTAACCTTCCCAATATCTAGTGTAGACGGAAAATATCCAACTTTAGAAAAATTCATCATTATTATTATATTTTAATTATTTTGTTTAACTTTATTATTATTACTATTATTTTCCAGTTTGATCAGAGAGAGAGAGAAAGAGGGAAAGTGAGAAAGCAAGCCATCAGGTCCAGGACTTGAACCTCAGTCAACCATGTGGGAATCCAGAATCCTTAACCACCACGCCACCTGCCGGCCCTGAAAAATTACTTATTAATGCGGTTTATTTCCAAGCAGCATATGAGCGACCTAGGCCCAGAGAGGAGGCATACATGCCCTTCTCCAGTTGATCAGGTACAGGGGTTCCTTTTATTTGATTCTGAGAGTGACAGACAAAATTAGTGAAGAGATTTCCATTGGTGTGGTCCAAAAAGGTGGGACACATAAAAGCGGGAGCTTGTAGGTTATTTATTTATTTTTTTTTGGAGAGGTTTTTTTTTTGGGGGGATAGGGCGCGTGTGCTCTCCATACAGACAGAGAGAGACATAGAGACAGAAAGCGAGAAATCACCCCTCAGGTGGGATGGCCATACCCTTCTCCTCCATTCTCCTCTCGGGATCTTGGGCACGCATGCGCACGGTGTGAGTTTTAAGCCACCGGGTCCGGGACACGAACCGCGGTCGACTACATGGGAGTCCAGCGACATAGCCATTATGCTAACTGCTGGTCCCGGTTCCACAAATTTTAAGTTGGTGATTAGAAGGGAAGATCTGTATTCTTGGAAGAGATTCATCAATCTACATATCAAGGAAAGGGAAGTCCTGTGTCTTGAGAAGAGATAAGCAAAAGAATATATTGTAATTGGTTGAAATACACATCTCAAAGATACTATGCCAGGGACAGGATATAAGAATCCTGTTAATGGAAAAAAATGGGTCTGTTAATGTTTGTGGACAACAGCCACTAGGCCCTCTGGAAAGAACTTTGGAAAAATAGGAAAAAGCAGTCAGACTTCTGTCTCACTGGAGAGGACAACTTCTCAACTTGATAGAAAGAAATCAACCTTTGATCAGAAACTTAATTCAGTACTCTCAACTGTACTGATGGGAATATTACCATCTAACTGAGAGCCTTTTTTGTAGAAGATTAACTAAAAATGTATGGAGGCTGCTCTTTCTATCACACTGAAGGAGAGGCACTCAGATATTACTCTCCTCTCATGTCTTAGAAAATGAACCCAATTTTGGGACCCACAGGTAGCATGGTGGTCAAGGGCACTAGACTCCCACATGGCCAACTGCAGTTCAAGTCCCGGACCTGGCAGCTTTCTGTCTCTCTCTCTCCCTTTTTCTCTCTTATTCTGTCCCTCTCTGGCCAAATTTAAATAAATAAATAAATAAAGTTAAATATAATTATTCTTTATAAAAAGAAAAAGAAAATGAACTCAGTTTTAAGAAAGACAGACACTACCACATAGGCCCTTATACTGCCCCGATTCCACTTGATTTTACAAAAAACATTCAACTCCTATTAAATAAAAGCCAGAACCTTGGTGTGGCATACAAGCTCTCCACAGTCTGGGTCAACTCACTTCCTGCTACTGTCCACCACCGCCCTGCCCAGTACATCCTGTGCTTTCCACCTTCAGTGCCTTCCCTCCCATCCATTCCTTTGTCTTAAATACCCTTTCTTCCCATTTCCCCTGGGATACATGCTGGTCCCTCAAGAGTTCCCATTCCAAAGCCACATCTTCCATGAAGCTACCCTGCATCCTGCGGGAAATACACCTTCCTTTACCTGAACTCCCCCATAACAAGGCCTCCTGTGGCACCTCTCTCTCAGCTATCTGTAGTCCTCCAGGAATTGTTTCTTCCAACTGTTAACTCCTAGAGGGAGGCTCTGAATACATAACGAATGCTTCCTGATACCTAGGTCAAGGGAAATTACGAAAGAAAGATGACAAATGATTTCAAAATAAATTATTTCCAAATAGAGTGGCTCCCCATTCTATTATTTCCAAATAGAGTGGCTCCCAATTCTGTCCCTAGGACACAGGCAATGCTCTTTGATTGAAATACTATCTCCATCCCTGGAGGCAGCTGGGAAATGCCAGGGCATCCCTCAGATAGAACAAAGGAATTATTAGCCAATGAAGACCAAGCCTGGTTTATTTCCTGAACCTAGACACTCCAAACAGAAGAACATAAGCAATTAGGCTGGATTAGAGCCCAAGAATCTCCAACATCAGAGAAGAAAAGAATAAAATAAAAAGTACTAGAAGAAATAATGACTAAAAATTTCCCCAAATTTGGTAAAAGACAAAAACCTACAAATTCAAGAAGCTGAGCAAACATTAAACTGAACGAACTTGAAATTCCTGCCATGAAATACCTTAATTAAATTTCTGGGACCAACAGTTAGCTTAATGGCTATGTCGCTGGACTCCCATGTAGTCGACCGCAGTTCAAGTCCCGGACCCGGTGGCTTAAACTCACACTGGGAGTGTGTGCATGCATGCCCAAGATCCCGAGAGGAAAATGGAGGGGAAGGGATTGTGGCATGGCCATCCCCCTTGGGGGGTTATCTCTCGGTTTTCTATCTCTCTGTCTCTCTCTGTCTTTCTGGTGAGCGCCCGCACCCTGTAGCAAGAACCTCTCCAAAAAAAGAAAAAAAAATTTCTGGTAATTAATGATGAAGAAAAGAATCTTGAAAGAAACCAGAGAAAAATGATACCTTGTCTACAAAGTGAAAACCATTTGAATAACAGTGGATTTGTCATCATAAACAAGAGAGATCAGAAGAAAGTAGTGTAATATTTTTCAAGTGATGAAAGAAAAGAACTGTCAATTCAGAATCCTATACCTAGGAAAAATATTCTTCGACAATGAGGGAAGTCAGCCAGCAGTTTGGTGGTTAAGGTGGTTGGATCCAACATGGTTGACTGCACAGTTCAAGTCTGGGACCCGCAGCTTGAAAAACATGCGGAGCACAAGTGTGCATGCCCAAAATCTCAAGAGGAGAATGGAGGAGGAGGAAGGACTGCAGCATGGCTATTCCCCCAAGGGAGTACTTTCTCACTTTCTCCTTCTCTGTCTCTGATGAGGGCACTTGCCCTATAGCAAAAAGTAAAAAACAATGGGTAAAGATCCCTAAACAAGAAGGGAATAAAAAATAAACCATGGAATATGGGAAGAAACATGGACAGAAAAACACAGGTAAATTCAGAAGGGTTTTCTTCTCTTCTTAGGTTTTCTAAATAATGTTTGAAAATTGAAGCTAAAATTTTAACACTGACAATGGTTAGAAAAACTGCTAACCAGGCCATACAAAGAGAAAATATCCAAAAATATAATAAACAAATCTAAATGGAATCCTAAAAAGTATTCAAGTAATCCATAGGAAGGCAGGGAAAGGAAGATAGAAATGAAAAACAACAAACAAAATAGAAAAGAAAATGGGTAGACTAGCCACATCAAAATGATATAACATGCGATCTAAATATAAGAATTAGAGACTAGCAAATGGCGTAATGGTCACATCACTGGACTCCTACGTAGTTGACTGTGGTTCGAGTCCCAGACCCTGTGGCTTAAAGCATGCTGAATGTGTGTGCGTGCATGTCCAAAATCCCTACAGAAAAATGGAAGAGAAGGGACTGTGGCTTGGCCATTCTAACTGGGGAGTGATTTCTTGTTTTCTGTCTCTCTGGCAAGCACACTTGTCCTATA